TTCACACAAATTATTATGGAATAAATTGTCTGCGCTGGGACTTAGTTCAAAATTCATCAATATAATGATTAACTTTTATTCTCAAGCATACACATGTATTAAAACTAAACACGATTTTACTGATAGTGTAAAGGTAACTCAAGGTGTACTCCAAGGGGAGGTTTTAAGCCCTATGTTATTTCTTTTATTTATAAGCGATATGGAGAAATTTTTTGTCATGCACGGTTGCAAAGGTCTTTCGATTAATGAATTCACAGAGATTCTAATGCTCGGTTACGCGGATGATTATGTGCTTCTGTCTGACTCTCCGGTAGAACTCGCGAAAAAGCTAAAAGTATTAAAAACATATTGTGAATCGAATGGTCTGTGTGTTAATACCAGCAAGACTAAAATAGTTATTTTTACAAATTCGCCCAATTCTTCCGCGCATAAATTCAAAGCCTTTAAATATGGAAACAGTAGCATAGAAGTAACTAGTGAATATGTTTACTTGGGGGTTACTTTTCACAGATCTTGCTCTTTTGCTTCAGCTGCTAATAAAGCCACTAGCGCGGCCAATTCCGCAGTTGGGGCCCTTCGCAAGACACTATCAGTTGCCAAAATCGATTCTTGGGAGGTTTGCTCTAAGTTGTTCCGTAGTCTTGTGGTCAGTATTTTGGCTTACGGCTGCCTGGTCTGGGGTCTAAACTTTTTGGAGATGATTGAAAAGGTACAGCTCTCTTTTATCAAGGGGTGGCTTTATTTGCCTTCTTGTACGTCCAGTTTCGCAATTAGACTAGAAACAGGATCTAAGCATCTGGCCTACATTGTTTTCAAACAAGCACTTGCTTGGATTAATAAAATTTTTAATATGAATGATACACGGTACCCCAAGCTGTGCTTTTTGAAATTAATTAAGTTGGCTAGAAAAAATCCGAAAAACAAACTTAATTGGTTTAACCAACTAAAGTTTTCCTTTTTTGAACCTTGTGGGTTGCTGGTGTACTGGAATGGCATTAATTCAGAAACATCTTCCTTAAATGAGAGGGCCATCCTCGATAAATTTGAGCTTTTCCTTAGAAATAGAGACGAAAATCGACTGAATCACTCAAGAAGTCTGTTAATACTCCCGAGCTTGCCCCATAAAGCTGTCGCGCAATCCTATTTACTACTTCGCATGCCTATTTTTTATAAAAGAATTTTATCACAGATCAGACTAATCAATCAACATGTATGTAGAATTACTTTTAACCGAAAAATAATTACTTTTCACTCGGACTCTTTATGTAAATTATGTAGAACCGACTATGAATCCCTATATCATTTAATATTTTATTGCCCGGCATGCAGGCATTTATTTGCTGGTATAAGCTATCAGATCGGAAACGATCTTTCTACAGAAGAGCAATTTTTGAAGGTTTTGTATTCTGAGAACAGAGGAAAGTTAAAGATCTTAGTTAACACCCTTGTTAAAGTTTTTGAGGCTAAAATGAGGTGCGAGGACGTGGCTGGGTAGTGTGTGATTTTGTGTATTTGCGGATCTTTCACTAATTATGCGTTACTCCCTTGTATTCACGACAGGTGAAAAAACAAGTGTAATAAAATAAATAAATATTTTATTTATTTTATTTATTTTATTTATTTTATTTATTTTATTTATTTTATTTATTTTATTTATTTTATTTATTTTATTTATTTTATTTATTTTATTTATTTTATTTATTTTATTTATTTTATTTATTTTATTTATTTTATTTATTTTATTTATGGGTAAGACTCCGTCGGTAAAATTACAATTTGCATAGGGTCTTCGGATTATTCTGTAATTTAGTGAAGTTGTTATATTTGATAACAAAATTAAGTGTACAAAAGGATTTTTTAAAATTTTCAAAATTGTAAAAGTTACGCCATTTTGAATTTTTAAAAAAAATTTTTTTTAAATGTGAATATTTCCGAAACAATTTAACGGATTTTAATAAAATTTGAATATGTTATAGGTAAAATCATGTCCTTTCAGAATTTTTCAAAAGAAAAAAATAATTTTTGTTTTTTTTTCAAAAAAAAGTAAAAAAAAATTTTTTTGAATCGATTTATTAAGCACGGGACCGATTTTTGAGTATTTTTCGATATATAATAAAATATTCCTTATAATTTCACCTTTTATTTACAAAAAAGAAAACGATGGAGACTTTAATAGTTTTCGAGATATTGCAATTTTTGTGGAAGCGCGACCACGTTTCAGTGCCAGCGCAGTATCTTTTACCCGGGACGCCTAACAGTGGGATTTTTTACACTTTACTCTTCAAAATTGTCTAGAGCCTACAAATTTTATTGCATTTTGATGTTTTTGGTCTTAAATGAAAGAGGATAAAATTTCTAAGAGATCTCTTTAAACCGTTTTTTGAATTTTTAATTGTTTATTTATTTTTTTGTTACTCAAAGTTAACAATTTAAAATATTTTTGTATAAAATACTGTTTATTTTTTATTTTTCCATTGCACAAGATCGAAATCAATTTAAATTAGTCTAGTCTGACCACCTGACAAATAATAATGCATAATACAGTTTATTTAAATTGTTAAAAAAACAATTTAAATTAACAAATAGATAACTTTGGTCTTTCTTTTAAAAAATTGTTTTTTTGTAGACAAATTTATGTTTATTTAAGTAATGTTTGTCTATTTTGTAAAAAAATGATTTAGCAGTTAACAATTATCATTGTTATTAATAATTATATAATTACAGGGAAAGACTTTGTGTTTCAAAATTTAACATAATCATGTCAAACAGGGGAAAACGATGTTTTTATGTTATTTAATCGTATTAACGTATCAACTATTAATATGGTTTATACTAAAAATTGGCACGGACCATACTAATTTTTTGTATTACTTTGTTAAAAACTGATACTTCTGCTGCTTACCTTTCGGGAGTAGATTCTCGCCTTTTTTAGGTGAACTGCGAGTCTTGAGGCAGCGAGCTCTAGCGGCACCCATGTAAAGCCTGCAGCCTGCCCAAAATTCTTTCAGTGTGGAAAGAAGTTTGATCATCACCGACCCGAGTCACATCATCTACACCAAGGCCTCATCAAAATTGAGTATCATTGTATATTATTTTTTATGAATGTGTGTTTGGATGCATGAGAGTCGAAAGTGTTGAGCTAGAAATTTATGGATGTTTGTAGTCTGGTTTGATGACGCGTGATATCTTTATAAGCTATCAATTAGTATTATTAAAAAATCATAATCCTCTGTTTTTTGGTAATATTTTGACATCAGAGCATTATTACGCTTCATTGAAATTTGATTACATAAACGTAGGCTCTTTTTCTTGCTTTTTTGGGAAATTTTCTATAGGGAAGGGTTATCGGTGAATAGTTATTATTATCGAAGGTTGTCGGGAAATAATAATTTGTAAGATTTTTGTATCAATTCAGTAAGCAGAGAGATTTATTATTAAAGAACTTATATCAATGTGTAAAAATTATTGCGTTTTTATTTAAGTATTTCCTTAAATCCCTTAAATTATTTAGTTAATTCTATTTAGGGGTTTTAAAATAATAAATTTACTAGAATTTTGTATTTGCTCGTGATTTTTATATAATATTTTGTTACAATATGAAATAATTAAAACAATTTCAATAATAAGTAACTAAATAGGTGTATGCAAATAAGTTTAAACATAACCGAGCTAACGAGGGATATGTCGCTAGTTTTCAATTATTCTACAGAATGTATTTCTCTTATAGCGGTTAAAAAATGTATATTCATTTACAGTGTGAGTAGGTACAAATGACTTTGATATAATTGTAGGTAAGTGCTTAATTGGTCAACAATGTCCACAAACAAAATTTATAATAGTGTATAGAAGCATTAGCGTACGTACTTGCAATATATATGTATGCATTTTCCATGTTTCTGAATCTCGGACCGATATATAGAATCACATATAGGAACATGCTAACTCAAAATTCCATCGCTATGGATAGTTTAACTATGAATAATTTTCTAGTAACATCGATTTACGGGGTGAATACATTTATGATGTTTCGTGTTACTGATATCGTAGCGTAACCATGTTCGCGAACCGCACATATATGATATGTGCGAATACATATAGTATATGATAGCATAAAACTCTCGTTAGGAATCGAGAACGCAATTTAGAAACATGCATATTCACGCCAGTTATTTAAAATAAACAACTGTTTTGTTCACATCATCGTTTTATAATGCGGTGGAATCAATCGAAATATGTATACTTAAGTTAAAAATCGGAATAGCAAGTAAAAAAATTTGATTTGACTGCTAATATTTTTTTTATAAAACGAACTTAAATATTTTGATGTTCAAGATATTTTTTTTAATTTGATAAATCAGAATTGGACTAGTTTTAGGTTTCTAAACGTTCAAATGATCAAAATTTAATTCAAATTTAAATTGATAATAATAATAATAAATTAATTATCGTTAACTGGGGGTATTTTGCACTGAGAAAACAATCTATTCATGTTTAAAGAAATCCTTTTATCATAAGCGGATTTTCATTTTAATATTTATTTAAAAGGATTTCCTTTTAAAACAAAAGAAAAGTCTTTTAAAGTGTATCCTTTAATTATTAAAAGAATTCAGTTTACTATTCAAAGGAAACATTTTGTAAACAAAAAAAATAAATAGTATAATTGGTTGCCCGGATTTCCAATTATTTTAAGGGAAAAAGGGAAGGAAAGTGAAGTGACACCTTATTAACATTGAATAATTGTTTATTGACTTACGATGATCCAAAACAGAAACAGCAGATGACGAATCGACACTACCACTTTTTGGGAGGAAACTATATATTAGTACTTTCAATGGTGGTCAAACAACAAGTGTCGCGTCTGCTCGCGAATTCGGCGATTGACACCCTCGAGGCCCTTCGGCCGTTTCCGGGTTCAATCGCCTCATTCGCGACAGACGCGGGAGAATTTGTAACACCGTGTTTCACCCCCCTTCCCCTGAACGGAACGAAGTGTAACCCCTTACAAAAAATGTTTAATTTTTACTAGTTCGTCGTAATTTGTGTCTAAGACTATAAATTCAAGATTTTCTTTCTTAATATTTTCTGCTAGTTTCCTTGAATTTTCTGCTAGGCTATTCTCCAAGAATTCCTTAAGCTCCTTTCGACGTTTATCCTAATTCGCTCTTATGTATTTTCTCCCATTTTCCGCCGGCTCGCAGTATCCTGCTCGTGCTTTGAGATTTCTCTTATTGCAGAATTCATCATGGATTATGTAATGGGTTTTCCATATGTCCTTTTTGCAGAATCTGCATGTCCAGGCTTCGTTGTTGTCCATTATTTCCTGTAACATTCCACAAAAAAAATTTCTTTTCGTTACTTTTAAAAAAAAATAAAAAATAAAAGTCCATTTCCAAAGAAGAATATATTATTCGTTGTTATTGTATTTTATTTATTTGTATGTTTTATTTTGAGAAATAAAGAGAGGGGGTAAGATAAATTTTGTTTATTATATCCTTTTAGTACATTATGCGTTAAGCAAAGAAAATTTTATTAATTGTTCTCTCCGATGGAGTAATAGAAGTAAAAAGAAAAATAAATTTGTTTCATCTTGAGTATTGTAGAGGAGGAAAAAAAAGAAAATATCAAAATTTGTGTTTGTGTTTTCTAGGCTAATTGTTTTTAACGTTTCAATATTTTTGTTATATTTTAATTAAGAATTCTTTCAATTCGTTTTCGTTCTTTTGGCGTAGATTCTTCCATTCCAAATCCTGTTGTGTTTTTTCCTCTACATTTCTCTCCAATATAACTCGTCTGTCGCATCTCCAGCGCATCTTTCCAAGAAATACTCCTTTTTCTTTCTCGAAAGAGTATGTGTGTTCTTCGAAGTCTACCATGTTATCAGAGTTTTCCTCTTCTGCCTCGTGATTTTCGTCCCTATTGTCTTGTAAGTTGTCTTGATTTATTTCGACAACGTTTATTCCTTGATTTTTTTGAATTCTTTCGACACTTTTTTCTTTGTAATTTTCTTGAATCATTTCGGCAGCATTTTCTTCATAATTTTCTTGAATTATTTCGACAGCATTTTCTTCATAATTTTCTTCAATTATTTCGGCAGCATTTTCTTTATAATTTTCTTTTGGCTCGTTTTCAATAACTTCGATTATTGTTTCTGCTTGTGAGCTTAACTCTTCGTCGCTGCTTTCGTTATTCGATTCTTTTGTCATATTCATTTTCCAAATGTTTAACAGGGTCAAATTACTTTTGAGTTTTTGGCGCTGATCTTCTAATCCGTTCCATTTGCTTTTTAATGTGTCCATTTTTGTTGTTAGTTTATTCATTTTCTTTTGGAGTTTATTTATTTCTCCTAGCACTCCTTCCAATGTTGTCCTTTTGACATCCTCTTGATCAAATTGAATTGGATTCATTATCTGTAATTTAAATGTTATTTGTAAGTTCTACAGTCGTTTCTGTAAAAAAATAGTCGACTGTTATTTTAATTCAATTTTCCTATCATGTATTAATAATTCTTGTATTAATTTCTACTTAATGCTACTTAATTTTTGATAAATTTTTCGTTTAGTTTTTATTGAATTTTTCCTTTATTTTCCCGTAATTTTAGTATGATATTCGTTAACGTTTTTAACTAATAATCGTACATTTTCTCTTAATTTTAACTTGATTTTCTTATATTTTCGCTTAATTTTACGAAATTTTCTTATAATATTAATTTAATTTAATATTAATTTTCTGAAATTTTCTATAATTTTCTTAAATTTTCCTGTAATTTTCCGTTAATTTTTTTAGGAATTTTCTATCTTTTCCTGAAAATTTTTCCTAATTTTCGTTTTCTACGAATTTTCGCAAATCATTTATATTCCACGATCCTATCGATTTTCCTAGAATTTTTCCTAATTCGTACATTGTGGGGGAAATTTTTCGAATGATTTTATATGGGCCTTCGAAATCTTTTTTCAATTTTCGCGCAATTCCTAGATCTTTGCTAGAAAGAGATTTGTCTTTCTTCCAGACTAGATCTCCTACTTCGAATTTTAGTTTTCGCCTACGCAAATTTATTTATTTACATACGGGTCAAGCCCTATAATTAAAATCTAAGTTACAACCAGCAACTAATTATACAAAATTGGCATTATAAAAGTTAGGCGTGCGTTACAAATTTAAGTACAATTGATTTTGTCGTAGTTGAGAGGTAAATTTTTAAAAGATTATTTTCAAAAAAATTAATATTACAAAATACATTGTTTGCCTCTCTATGGAGTCTATTAACTATTGAGAAGTTACCAAAATTAGTTTTATAATAAGTTACAAAAAACGAATGATTGTTTCTAGTGAATCCTGTCGGAACACGCAAACTTATGAGATTTGACAAAGAAGGACAGTAAATAAATCCATTCAATAACTTATAGAAAAAAAGCATACCATTGTATAAGAACCTAGATGAAAGCAATGGGATGTGTAAAGTGGATCGTAAGTTACCGTAATCATGGGTGTTCCAGTCAAAAGGTAAATTGAGTTGCCGAGCAGCAAATCTTAAAAACTTGTATTGAACACGCTCTATTTTAATTATATTGAAAGTATAGAGTGGTACCCAGACTACAAAGGCATATTCCAAAATGGATCTCACTAATGTAAAATATAAAACTTTAATTGCAACTTTGTTACAAAAATCCGAGGCACCTCTCATAACAAAGCCCAGCATTCTGAGCGCTCGAGAAACTACCTCTGAGATATGATCATTAAAAGAAAGATTGCTGCATAAAAGAATACCTAAATCGCGAATACTCCCAACTCTGGCTAACTCAACCTGACCTATGGTATAACAATAAACCAATGTCCTTCGTTTTGAAAAAGAAATAACTGACTATTTTTTAGCATTAATATACATATGGTTATCCCTACACCACTCATCAAGTCGAGTCAAATCCGATTGTAGTTCAGAGGAATCGCTACAAGGATTAGTAGGACCAATTACTTTGTAGCATTTAATATCGTCGGCAAACAAAAGAAAAAGTGAAAATCGGAAGACTGAGTTAATGTCATTCATATACATAATAAAAAACAGGGGACCCAGATTTGACCCCTGCGGTACACCGGAAGTAGCAGAAAACACATCGGAAAATTTGTTGTTAATTTTAACTATTAATGGTCTGTCAAGAAGATAGCTTTTAAATAATATTAACAAATTGTTAGGAACCCCCATGACTCTCAGTTTACTTAGAAGAATATAATGATCGACTCTATCAAAGGCCTTCGAGAGATCGACATAGATCGTATCAATTTGTAGTCCCTTATCTACATTTAATGATAAAAAATTTGTGAATAGTGCAAGGTTTGTCAATGTTGACCGACCCTGAACAAATCCATGTTGCTGATCTATAATGGAATGTGAAATAGCTGAATAAACCGAGTCATATATCAAGCTCTCGAAGATCTTGGCCACTGCGCTAAGCAATGTGATAGGTCTACAGTTCTCGACATTATTTTTATCATCACTTTTGTAAACAGGAATAATTATTCCTTTTTTACATTCCGTTGGAAAAGTATTACATTGTAGGGATTTATGAAATAAAATAAACAAGGGCTCTACAAAAGAAAAACCACATGAGCGAATTAAAGAGGGGGGTATTTTATCTGGACCTGCACCCTTACCCACATCCAGGTTACTTATCTTTTTAAAAATGTCATTTCTAGTAATAAAAATAGGTTGGATATTTATCTCATCTGTAATCTGCGTAATGTTGTTAGATGTTAGCAAAGTGGGTGTAGTATAAACAGATTTAAAATGTTTCGCAAAGAGGTTCGCAATTGCTGTCGAATTTTCCCCAGTCTCAGTTTTTAAAAACATAGAATTAGGTATAAGTCTGTTTTGACGAGTTGAATTAATAAAATTCCAAAAATGTTTAGGGTTTTTAACAATTGAGTTTTCAGAGTTTAGAATATAATTATTATAACAAACCGTGGACAAAATTTTACAATCAGACCTTAATTTAGAGAACAATAAACAATTAACATCATTCCTATCTCTCTTATAATTAGCATGTGCTGCCTTTTTATCTAATACTAATTTTTTTAATTCAAATGTAAACCATGGTGGGAAAGTCGAAGCAACAGGAGACTTCAATGGCACGAAAGTATCAAGTACATTGTAAGTATCAAGTACATTGTACATTTCGCTTGGTTTTCGTTCGCTTTTTCTAAATTTCGTTGAACTTCGACCTTGATAATTTCTAAGCGTCTCAGTCTTTCTGTCCACTTGTCAACTTCCTGAAATTCAATTTCGTCTGGATTTTCGAAATCTTTTTTCAGTGTTTGAAAAGGTTGAAGTTCACGACCTAAATTGAGAAAAGCTGTAGTAAAATTAGTCGAGGAATGTTTCGAGGTATTTAAAGCAAATTGTAGATCGTCGATGTCTTTATCCCAAAGATTCTGTTCCTTATCTAAATAAGCTTTAATTGCCGTTTTAATCGATCTATTAGACCTTTCGGTCGGGTTTGCTTGTGGGTAGTACTTTGGTGTAAAAGAGTGTCTTATTCCGAATTTTTCCGACATTTCCCGTATCACTTTATTGGCATATTCTGTGCCATTGTCGGAAACTAAAATTCTGGGCGTTTTCCATCTGGAAATTACTCTTTTGTAAAACTCTGCTTCGATAGTTTTTCCGTCTGCTTTTTTAATTGGAATTATTTCCACCCATTTTGTGAAAATGTCCAGAAATACAAAAATATATTTGTTCCTATTTTTCGATAAGGGTAATGGGCCTATTATATCTGAAGCAACCATCGTCTATGGTTCATCCACTATTCGTTTACCCATTGGTTCTATTTTCGGTTTATTATTTGCTTTTGTCTGTTGGCAAATTTTGAATTTTCGAATATACTTTACTATTTCCGTGTACATTCCAGGCCAGAAAAATTTTTCGGAAATTCTATGGAAAGTTTTCTCCACACCAAGGTGTCCTGCTTGCACGTTATCATGATTTTCGATTAATACCTGTTTTCTCAAATTTTCCGGAATAACTAATTTCCTTGGATTTTCATTTTTAAGGAGAGGTGATTTTAACGGATCGGGTCTATGGAAATATAATTGTTTGTCTCGAATTCGCCAATTTTCGTGTTCGTGAGGTTTTGATTCTACTAATCTCATTTTCGTTCTGTACCAATTATTTTCTGATTGATTTTCGCTACTTTCGATTTTTATTTTTTCGGAAATTTCTTGTTTTTCTTCGAATATTCTCGACAACGCGTCTGGAACTACGTTCGCTGAACCTTTTCGATAAATTAATTCGAAGTCATGTTCCGACAGTTCCAACGCCCATCTCGCCAA